AAGTGATTTGAAAATGATGACAAACACCTTAAATTCAATTCTGTAGCTCACAGGCAACCAGTGAAGAGATTTTCAGTTTAGTTTTGGCGAGGAGTGACTAAGGCCTAACTGTCAAGTTTTGAAACAGTTGTACATGTTTGATCTGGTTCTGTGAACAGAACATTGCAGTAATTAGTGTGAGTGTAAACAAAAGCATGACGCCTGTGTCCTCTGAGAGAAATGACGTGACCATGACAATGCTCTTTAAGTGGTAAAAGGTCACTTTAAAGGTATTAAAACTGTGTTCTTCAATATTTAAACTAATATGAAGTGAAGTTTTCTCTTGTGGCCTGTTCAGTGAAAGCTAAATCTCTGTTCTCCGTTTTTAACTGAACTCGTTTTGAACCATTCAATCGCTAATTTCTGAAATGCTAATCTGCAAGATTGCCAGCAGGGATCATCAAGAGAGGCAAAGAAATAGAGTTGTGTGTCATCTGAGCAGCAATGGAAACAGATGTTTATGTATTTTAGAACCGTAAGGTCGTTTTTACAGAATTAGCCTGGACTGTTTTTAGTGAGACCATGAAACCCAACCCATGTTTTTAACCTTTCTACATTGATATAAATACTGTCACAGTGATATGTTGCTGGAAAAAAAATTACAGCTATGCAGGAAAAACAAGAATATTGGTACTGTCGAAAATGTTTTGTCCTGTTTGTCTTTATACAGTAATTAGCTAAATGTCTTAACATTAATTAACATGATAATTTATTTTAATGAAATCACACAGTTTAGCCACAGACAATCTAGATCTATTGTAATTTCCAAAATGTTATACTGCAAAGTTTGTGATTTATATAAAGTGTGCTAAAAGATATTTTAAAATATACTGTATGCTTTCAGATAGATGTATAGCACAGTAATCAGTCAAAAATAACAGAAATTCATATGGAGCTTTATACAAATTTAATTAAAGACCTGATTGAACCATTTCTGCAGTTTTCTGTTAATCTATGAATGCCTCTCATTCCTTTTTCTTTTGCTCTCAGTTTGGTTCCAGGGATCCAATGAGACATCTATTTTGCCATCTCTTTTTGTCTCATGTATGCAGGATCCCATCACATTCAATGCTGCTGATGTGTTTCTTGCCTTGTTTTGTACCACCTGGTGCTCTCTTAGTAGTAATTTTGGGCCCTCTATCAACAGCTACACATCTCTGACAGCAAATATAATACATTTATAATTCTTGGATTTTTACAGATGCCCTGGATCAGCTGATTGGCTGTTGTTCACTTATCTGGTTAGTAAACTAGTTTTTTTATGTCTCTTTAAAGAATATTTATATATTTATGTTTAATTTAAATTGAAATAGTATCCTGTTGGAGCTGGCATAGCTTTTCAGCAGGTCTTGTGGAAGATTCTTCAGGGGGTGTGGGTAAACTGCAGGAGTGGAGGGCAGTGGGGTGAGAGCCCAAGAGGCCTTGTTTTTCACCACTGCTGCAGCTCCTCCTTCGTTCCCACTACACTTTGCATTCCCAAACATCTACTTCACAACCCAACCCTGTGGCAGTGTGCACTCTGGCATACAAACACACAAAGATAGAGAAACATGCATACAACATCACCATTACTGAAACTTTTATGGAATTTGGCAACAATGCCATTTTTGAGATCTGGTCACCTGTAGTAACATTTCCTCTTTCCACCACAGCCAAAACATCCAGGAAGTCTGCAGCTTGCAACAACACAGAGCCAAGGCCTTTGGGGTGTTTTCAAATGGTTATATATGAGTTGTCTGAGTGCCTCTACATCTCTTGCTGGTCAGGGTAAAGTCAACAATTCTGAGGGTCATTCATTAACAGTGCCCAGGCCTGACGTGCAAGAGAACCAGACTGCCTGTATCACAGTCAGTGATACCACAGGGACAGAATAAGCAAAAACTATCTGCTCTGCTGTTCTACAGTCTCCTGCTCTTTCTTGCCTCCTTCTATTGCCCCTTCTTTTTATCAGCATTTGTTACGCTGTTGGTCTCTGTCAACCACTGATGTCATCCATCACAATCTCAATTTCTGGCCTTTCCTATGCTATTTTAGTCTGTCCAATCCAGCAAAAACAAAGAATGCAAAAACAAAAAACAGAATAGATGGATGGTTTGAAAAGCAGGGCAGACATCAGCAAAGACGAAAGAAGAAAAACAAACTAACCCGCTCTCACCCATAGCTAATTCTGTGCTATTTTAGAGATGCTTTCCAAACACATTAGATACGACCATGTTCCATTGCATGCCATTGTAGATGTTAAATGATTAGTTTTCCTGAACAATTCAAGGACCTCTGGTCTGTTTGTTTAAAAGCTGGAACTGTAAGTTCATTCTTGACTTCAGAAATACTTGTCAAAACAGTATTAATATATCAATATAATACAACACAACAGTCAATCCCTACCCTTCATGTGTATCCATTGGGTTGGACTGTTGGCTTTTGTGGAATTTGTTAGGAATGTGTGCTCTGTTCTTTAAACACAATGCACAGCCGGCTCAGAGAGGGGCAGGGAGTGGGTGGATTAACAGGAATGAAGAGGAAGTATTAGTGGGTCAGTTACATGTCCATACTATCCATATCCAGCTGTGGTTTCTCATTTGTGCTGTTTTCTTTCAGTCAGCTGCTCAAGTCACACATGGCATGCAGTGACACAAACCTGATTGGTGTCCACAGGGATACAGCATAAAATTCTATGCCAAGTTTTATATTTGCAGTAATGGTTCACCAAGCAGAGTGCCACGGTGGTGCAGTGATTAGCGCTTTTGCCTCACAGCAAGAAAGTTTCGGGTTTGAGCCCAGGCTTTTCTCTGCGGAGTTTGCATGTTCTCCCCGTGCCTGCGTGGATCCTTTCCAGGTACTCTGGGTTCAGTCCAAAGTCCTTAGGTTGATTGATGACTCTAAATTGCTGGTAGGAGTGAGTGTGGGTGTGTGTAGATGTCTGTCTCTAAGTGTCAGCCCTGTGGTAGACGGGCGACCTATCCAGCCTCTCGTCCAATGTCAGTTGGGGTTGGTTCCAGCCCCTCACGACCCTCGTTAGGATAAGCAGTATAGATAATGAACGGATGGATGTATAGTTCACCGAGCACTTCTGCTGTTTTCACCAACAGCCTTCTTTGCTTCAGTGATACCATTATACACAGTGATGTAAGAATTGACCTGCAAAATTGCTGTTTTTCTTTTCCTGATCACTGTAGGTGAGGACTTGTAGCTCTGAGACAGATTAATAGTAGTTCTTCCCAACTTTTACCTTGTGCACTTGTTCTAAAATTTCCTTATGAAATAACAGAAGGTTTTCTGTATCTTGCTCACCACCGTCACTGCACACACCACAGTAACAGACTAATCATCACGATGGTGACCTGACCTGGGGAATGAAACTGGACATGCAACTTCATTTGATGCAGGTGAAACCTCATCTTACCCCATGTCTATTTAAGGTAGGTAGGTAGGTAGGACTTATTGATCCCACAATGGGGAAACTCCTGTGTTCCAGCAACAATAGAGAGCAGCAACAAAACACCATAAGAACAAAGAACAAACATGTCTTAAGCAACAAATTCCAAAGTACCTAAAACCAAACAGAATATAGCATTTGAGAGACAATCAGAACAAGAATGATCCTCCCACAATTAATCCCTGAGAACAAATCAAAATACCTAAGAACAAGACAAACTATAGTATTCAAGAGATCAAGAAATCAGGGGCAAGAATATTACTCCCATAATTAATCCCCCAATGGGGGAAATACCTGTATTTCTCTGAAAAACTACTCAAAAATACCCAAAACAAGACAACATAAAGTATTTGAGAGAAATCGAGAACAAGATTTTTACATATGTGAATATTTACAATGCATTCTACCCCCAGGATTTGAGTATTGCAGCTCAGTTGACTATTACATAGTCCCTCATACTTTCACCTAGCTTATCACTGCAGTGATGTGTTGTACAGTCTGATAGCTGTGGGGAGGAATGACCTGCGGTAAGACTCCTTCATACACTAGGGGTTGTAAGAGTCTTGTGCTAAAGGAACTGTTCAGAGCCTCCACTGTGTGGGGCAGGGGATGGGAGGGGTCGTGCATGATGAATGTTAGTTTTACCAGCATCCTTCTGTCCGCCACTTCCTTGATGGAATCCAGAGAACAGCCCAGGACAGAACCAGCTCTCTTGACCAGCTTGTTTAGTCTCTTTCTGTCCCTGTCCATGCTACCTCCTGTCCAACCCACAACAGCGTAAAAAACTGCAGATGCCACCACAGTATCATATAATGTCTGAAGGAGTGCCCCGCACACACCAAAGGACCTCAGTCTCCTCAACAAGTGGAGGCAGCTCTGGCGCTTCCTGTACAGGGCATCTGTGTCATTGGTCCAATCCAGTTTATTGTTGAGGTGGACACCCAGGTATTTAAAGGTGTCCACAATCTCAATATCTGAGCCTTGAAAGTTCACCAGCGTGAGTGATGGTGATTTTTGCCAGAGGTCAATCATCATCTCATTAGTCTTACTGGTGTTGAGGACCAGGTGATTTTTCTCACACCACTCTCAGAGGCTATAACATTTTTTTCTTTCAGAATAATGCCAAAAAAGTGCATAGAAGGAGAGATAAAGAGTGACCCTCCCCTTCTCATCCATTCCACTTGGTGGCAATGGGAGAAGTCTGACCTATCTCACACCCTGAAGGAGCAAAGGGACATAGTCATCTTTGACTTCAGCATGAAAAACAATGACTCACCAAATCACAGATATAAAAAGAGGTTGCAAATTCTTGTTCTCTTAGTGGAGAAGATAGAAAGAAAGAAGTGGAGAAGATTAAAAGGGGAAATTAGCATGTCAGACTGTTAAGAAACTGTGGATATGACTGACTCAAAATTGGAAAATTATTGGTTGAGAATGCTTTATTATGCACCAACCCTATAATATACAGCAATATTACACTCAAACATCAACATGAAAACAACAAGCTGATACCTGGAAGCTGTGCAAACAAGAACAAAACAACACAACAAAGTGTGCAATGCTATCTGAGGATGACATACTGTATCTTCAGGTAGCACCAGAGGCCCCTGGGGCAAAAAAACTCATGTGTTGGGACAAGTGCTGCAATTATATGACACACTGGAACAGCCAAACTGCTCTCTGTTCACGCAGAACGCACAACTTTTATAAACTTCTAGAAAAAGCAGCCAAATCAGTCAAACTCATTTTGACTTTGATTTTTTTTTAAAGACAACAAAATGATTCAGCCTGTAGCAACAACGTTGAGGCATAAGGACATATGGCTCCAACGCCTCTCCTGACTCAATTTATGGAAACTAAACGAGGAGGAGGTAAATCCCGCCCCGCCAGCTGGGAGGGGTGAGACAGCTGGACGGAGCTGGACGGAGCTGGACACGCACAGTGCGCAGAGGACACGAGAGGAAAAGTTCGGCGGACGCAGTGGCTGTTTGATGCTCACGTAATAATACGGAATTTTGACTACACGTCGAATAGGTTCAATTTTTGGCAACCGCATATTCTACACCAATACATCTTTACGGACCAGAGAGAGAGAGAGAGAGAGAAGGAGAGAGAGAGAGAGAAGGAGAGAGAGAAGGAGAGAGAGAGAGAGAAACTTCCAAACTACAAATCTTCACATGGACCGGACGTTTAGATGAAGACAATGACTCCAAAAGGTACCGACGGCAAGTTATTGTTGCTATGATGATACATCAGCTGTACAGAGACTGAACTTTAGCAGACACTTTTTTTATTTCTTGTGTGTTTAATGAAAATATACAAAACAAACAAACAAACGTTTAAACATCTTCTGGGTCAGGCTATATGCAGCCTGTGTGGTCATAGACTTTTATCTAAGAGTTAGGATACTTTCATTAGAAATGATTATTATTATTATTTTTATAAATGGTGACACTGCACTTAACTGCCAGTCTGCCACGGCTGTTTGTTAAGGGGGACATTAAAGAAAAACTCAGCCTTTCTTTTAGATTCTGTAATTTATATTTTCTAAATGCTGTTATCTTGGGCAGGGCATGTCTGTAAGAGCATTGCATTAAACTCAGCATTGCACTTTCTTTGTTAAATAAAGTACTAATAAACAATAGGCCCACTAAATATAACCTTTTTTGCACTTATTTCCAATTTGCTGTTTTTAGTGTCCTTGGGCAAGACACTGATCCTCCCTGTTGCCTGTGATGGCGGTGCGTATGCACACAGTGGCCCGGGGCCCTCGGCTCCAAACATATGTCGTTGTACATGTTACAGCGACAATAAATAAAGCTTCTTCTTCTTAATGTAACATTTGCTTTTACTTTTGGAGTCCTTGAAAATATTTTTTTCTTACAAAAGTTAACCAAAAGGTGAATGTAAACTCTGTGACCTTTCACTGTAGAATGTACATTTTAAACACACTTTTTATTTCTTAACTGCCTTTGATTGACAGGCACTTGAAGAAACTGTACAATGAGTGTCCTCCCCCTGCTGTGTCCAGCGCTGTGGCACCCTCTGCTGTGTGACTGAAGAAGGCCAGAAAGGGCAGGCAGGATGGGAAACACATTGGAGGAAGGGATGAATATTGTCATCATCACCCACTACAACCACTCAGGGAAGTGGGACCGGCCTCGCAGCAGCGGGGCCTGTAAGATGGCTGTGCTGCTCTTCATCTGCGTGCTGATTGTTTTGGAGAACATCACCGTTCTGCTCGCTCTCTGGAGGAACAAGCGCTTCCACAGCCGCATGTACTTCCTTATAGGAAACTTGGCGCTGTCAGACCTGCTGGCTGGTGTGGCCTACATAGTTAACATCTTTACCTCAGGACGTAACACCTTCTTCCTGACACCAATGCAGTGGCTGGCCAGGGAAGGGAGCATGTTTGTGGCCCTCAGTGCCTCCACATTCAGCCTTCTGGCCATTGGGATTGAGAGGCACATGACTATGGTGCGACTGCGTCCATGTGAGACAGCAGGTCGAGGGAGACTTCTAGCACTATTGGCGGCCTGCTGGCTCGTGTCATTGCTGTTCAGTGCCCTGCCCAGCCTGGGGTGGAACTGCCTGAACAATCTTTCCTCCTGCTCCACAGTGCTGCCCCTTTATGCAAAGAGTTATGTGGCTTTTTGCATCAGTGTCTTCAGTGCGCTGTTGGTAGCTATAATCATTCTCTACATCAGGATTTATCGCCTGGTGACCTCTAGTGGCCGCAGAGTGAGCAGCCGGCCTTCAGAGCACTCACTTGCCCTGCTGCGGACAGTGGTTATTGTTCTTGGTGTGTTTGTCATGTGCTGGGCCCCTTTATTCTTCCTGCTGCTGCTGGATGTATATTGCAGCCCAGTTAAGTGCCCTGTGCTCTATGAGATGGACTGGTTCATCGCACTGGCTGTGCTCAACTCTGCCCTAAACCCCCTGATATACACTCTGTCCAGCAGGGAAATGAGGGCGGCCTTTTTCCGGCTGTTGTGCTGCTGTCAAGCCAGCATGGAGCCCGCTGGGACTCCTGCGGTGGGTAGCCCCCACCAGGGCACTGTCATCCCCACAGTGGAGAACAGCAAGACTAGTTTGGGCAGAGTGGGGGGCAGTGGAGCTGGAAAATCCACGCTGGCTAGAGAAAAGGTTCCTACACCTGTGAACTCTGACAACAAACACAGGGATCCCTCTGCCACTGCTGTGCCCCATCCCTCTGGGCCTGCAGACCTGCTCTCAGCTGTGCTTGTGAAGGCGGGCGCGCTGCAATCCCTCAGCAAGTTCTGAGCAGAAGCACCTTAATGAAGGAGACATAGAACTGACATAGTCCTGCTATCAGGCGGTTTTTGTTCATGCACGATGGCTAGTGTAGCATGGATACAGTAAAGTACTGATAAAACAGCAACACTATTCCCTTTTTTACCAAATAATATGATATTGTAGATTGGAATACAATCAAATTCATTTTAAGCCACTATTTACAGCAACCTACTCACAACACTAGACTAACTGAACATTTGTGTGAATTAGTGTTGTGTCTGTCAATGTGTTTTATTTAATCTTCTCATTATAAGTAGAAAAGATCAAGTTAGGGCACTTTTGTACATGTGCTATATGCAAATACTCTTAAAACAACTGCATTTTGTATCACAACTTGACCTGGTAAACTATTTTCTGTGAAAACATTTGCCACTTTAAAATTTAAAAATATTTGCTATATATTTTGCTTAGTGTGCATAAAAACCATCATGGTACTAGGACTTGATCATCCATTTTGTTAGGATTTGACATGCACTAAAACCTTTAATCTTGTTGTGTGTTAATTTGTCAGACTAGTGGCCCTGTGAGGCTGTAATGCTCATTACACATCAGACAGCAAAATTGCTGGATAAATGAAAAATGGCTAGACAACATTGCTATTATTAGATTGTTACCACTAGTGGACAGGTTTGTTCAGATAGTGGTGCTATACAGGAAAAGTGCTGTTTTACTTAGAGTAAATAGGTTCATCTTCTCTACAGTAGCCATTTTTGGCCATTTCAGGCTCAACTTTACGATGGCACAACTGTTTTATCTTTCATCAGTCTAAGGTCTACTGTGTCAGCACCAGCTGCACTGTGAGCTGAATTAGTGCGGCTAATGACTACACTCATGGACATTTTTGCTTCTCATCAGCACATTTAGAAACCACTCACATGTCAGCTAACCACTAGTGAATAGAAGTGTTGGATGTGAATTCTTTAATGGTGGTAGACTGTAAATGACTTTTCTGCCTAGGGTGATGTATTGTCTCATAGCACTACATACTGTAACAAATAAAATAAATCCTATTCCCTTTTTATGACATTTTCAAGTGTCATGTCGTTATATTAAATCAGTGGCTTGTCTGTTTTCAGCCCCCTTCCTCTCACCCAAGCTCAGTCTCTGTGCTGAGCCTCTGCAGTGTCATGGAGCATACAAGTGAGTGATTTTGTTTGTATCTTTTGTACCATATGATTGGTATATGTTAACGCATATCAGCTTGTTATAGTCAGTGAAGGAACGCTCTGATTTGCAATTTTATAATTTCCTATTCAGACAGAAGAAGAGAGACAAATGCCCTCTGACTTCATCTGCTCCACTAATTTATTATCTTAATAGTAAGCTGATTGATGCTCTCTTATTTCTATCCATGGGAAAACCTGGGTCAGGCAGTGATGAATAATGCAGAGAAATTCTTGATATTTATTTTAACTAGGGGCTTTCAGCTGGGTGAGATGAGATACAGCAAGTAGTAGTCATAAAATGTATACTGAATCAATCTGACTTTGGGGAGCTTCCTGTTACTGAAAAACACTCTATACAATCTTGAGAAGGCTCTAATATGCAAAAATTATATAACCAGACTGGCTGAGATTGTGTGAAATGTTTTCTTGAGACATCCTGTCAGTTTCTGTTTGAGTTAAACAATGAAGGTATGGGGATAATCACATCACATATACAGTAGGTGCAGGGGATGTTTAATAAAGAGCTACTGACAGCATTGTTAAAAGGTTGGCACAGAGTTATACATTCTGAGAAATGTTGACATACTTTAAGTGGATAAGTTTGTTTTCTAGATGTGGATAACTAAAGACATTCCAATCATGTTTGAACCCAGTAGATGGGCTGATAGCAATGAAATTTGTTGTTCATTGCACAGGAGCTGACAGACTGGCATTTCATACTCACCTCAGCCAGAGGATGCATCTCTGCTCCGCACCTCCATTTGTGATGAAAAGGAGGTAATACCAGCTGAACATTTCCATCTGAAAGGTCACTGACTGCTTCCTGTCAGACATAATTGAACACTTTCTTTCCTGAATTGTAGCCTTATGGAACATTAGAAAATGCCACAATGTTGAGCTGCATAGCATCATTTGCCGTTAGTGAATCCTCTGCTTCCTCCTCCCTTTCCCTCATTTTCATCTTGTTTATTCAACGTATTCTTTTCCTCCTTACAAATATTATCTTGATTCAAATTGTCATTAGATTTGATTATAAGATTTGGGCGTTGTTTTAAAATCTCTTACAATATAAATAGAGTTACTCCATAAAAGGTATTTTTGCACTTTTAGACTTTCACTTTTAGCATCATGAGGAAGAGCAAGCAGTGTCCGGTAACGGCAGCTAATGCATAGCAGGTGTGCTGTCAATTCAACAATTAGGCTTTCTGCTTTGGAAATACAAAGTGTTTCTAGAATCCAGTTTTTGCCTCAAAGTTTTAATCATTTAAATCAGGAACTGTGTCTTATCAAAAGTTTTATGGCATGGGAAAAACTTATAGCAAAGATGATAATAACAAAGCAATTCATCAAATTATTGACTAAAGTAAATATTGTGATCTCTTCCTTCTTAATGAAACATTTTCCATTAGCCAATATAAACCCTTTTTGTTTACATGACATTCAAAGCTCTGGGGAGTGGTTATGTGTTGATGTTCTTACAGTCTTTCAGTCACTGCAGTGTTTTTGTTAGCTGTTGCTTCCTGACACTACTTAATGCTGCTGGTTTTAAATTAAAGCTCAAAATGGCAACACTGCTTCTGTCCTTCTTGAAATAACTCCACATATAAAGTCAACAATGCAGCCAGTAACAAACAATAAATCACTCTAAAACTAGAGCACTCAGAGACTGCAAACCTCTGCCAAGGCAGATCCATTTCCCCATAATGCCATTCCACCTCAAAACAATAGTCCCATGATAATTTGATCCTGATAATATGATTCCTTGACCATTAAAACCTACCACATTGATATCATTATATCTATGATGATCACATTGATATCATCATTAGTTTGAAAGTTATTCAAGAAAAATGATATTTCAGTAATGGCCGTTTTCCTCAGGGTCTAGCTCAGTAGCTTTTAAAAATGTGTCAAATCTATTGGCACCATTTGATCTAAGTTGTGAGCCTCTAGCTCTGTTTGCTGTCTCACATTAGTGAGTTTTATGTGAGCCCTACAAATTTGAATATTCTGGATCTACTGATCCAAAATATTACTTGGATTACTTGGATCCAGATCAGACTTTTGATGTGGATGCAATCTTGCAAATTTTGTCTCGACATTCTAGACCCTGTGTATGAAGTCAGAGGCCAAAATACTGAAAATGATCCTATCTCACAATGGTGACGAATCTCTTAAAAAATCCTGGATCCGGATGATGAGTCGGATCGGTTGTTCCTTGGGCTGTACCCTACTTCATAACATTTTCATCCAAATCAATGCATTACTTTTTGCATTATACTGTGAAGAAACTAACCAACAAACAAACAAATGTTGATAAAAATGATAACTATGGCTACTGAAAATGAGACTTAAAGACAAAATTTTGCACATCCCACCCGTTGTCATCCTCACTCTTTTATTTCATTACATTTGCCTTTGTTCCATGTCTAGATAAAGCAAAAGCATCTTAAATGTGTTCAGTAAAATGAATAAATTCGTTTTCTGTCAAATCTTCTTTGTAACCAGCTTTGACAGATTCCTTTTCTCCAAATATCTAAAACAAACACCATTTAATCGCTGCTTGTGCTAAGTGGGTCAAACACCTTAATAAATCATGTTAACTAAATAACCATCACCCGTCTTCTTTGAGGATTTAGACATGGTGGATTTATGTCATTCTCTGTGGACAATGCCTATTTGCATATGACTAATGTGAACACGAAGGAGAACAAGAGAATCATGCCACCCCCTGTCATTGTGATCCCAGCTTTATACTGCTTTGTGGTGAGGAAGAGTATGCACATGTGTTTGTGTGTGTGTGTGTGCATTTTCACACGTCACCTTTTCATGCAGACAGGCGTGTATGTGCTGTGTGTGTTTGAAAATCAGAACAAAGACTCCATCTGGTCTGAGCCACTGAATGTGCCAGCATGAAACACTTCTGTCATTCTGAAGTCCTTTTTTGAAGCAGCTCAGCGGCCAGGCAGAGACCCGCGAGGGGTCCCATTTGAAGCAGGCACTCACGCAGGGAGCCCCCAGCTAAAGTCATTTTCTCCTTTCCGAATGAGTTGTACCACTTTCACCAGAGGACACACGCATTCATCTGGTGAGTGGTGATTTTCCTCCCCTTCCTCCACCTCAGTGGCTCTGGTTCATTACAGTGTAATTACAAGTAGAGCAAAGCGAGTGAACTCCTAGGCAAACTTTGGCAATAAGATCCTCAGACAGGATCAGAGGGTTTTATCCAGGGAGCAGTTGGGAAGAAACTGTAGGAGCCAGGTCAAAGGTCACTTTGTAGTAGGAAATCTGAAGGAGCTGGCTGAAATTTGGATTGGTGGATATTCCTCCCAGCATTCCTCTTTACACCCCACTGCCATTAGATTTAGTGCTGATCAAGAAGAGTCGAGCCAAGGTTCTGCAGGCATACTAAAGTCATTTTAACATCAAGTACGTCATTTTATCACCATTTTCTTTCTCCTAAGGTACCAAAATCATCCTTCCATTGATATCATATGGGAGCCCAGAGACTAATGTGTGCCTTATAGGGCTCCAACTCATACTTACTTTCATCATAGGTTAATATCTCAGTTATTTGATTAATCATTTGGACTCTGTCTCTTACAGTCTAATCACCAAGATGTTCAATTTCATATGAGATGAAATTGAAAAGGCAGGGGAAAGATCATATTTCAGAAGCTGAAACCTGCAACCCAATGATTAATCTATTGTTGAAATTGTTTTCAATTTTTCACTAAACTGAATAATTGATTGAGTAATTGTTATATAACTGCATAAAAATGAGTCCAGATCTTAAATAAAAACTGGTTTCTTCTACCAAAATCAAGCATGTTTTTCTCTTAAGGACAGGGAAACCATTGTGCCATCATGTCTGTGCCTGACCCTAGCAATGACTTGCACTCTCATGATACTCATTCCACCTTAACAAAACTTGATGTGTTTTTATTTTTGCTCACCTTTCATTACAGTAGGTAAATATTGGACTCACCAGTGTACACAGTATGAAAATGGAACCTGGTCCTCATTAGAAACAAAGAGGAAAGTACACGGTGCATTTGTATAGATGTCTCAAGCTTCCTCAGCTTATCTCATTTCTTCTTAAATTTGAAACAACTGTTCATCTGAGCAGATCTGGACCAGCAAATTCTTGATACCACAGTGTTGTAAACATGAGAAGACTTCTCAGTACTTTGCACCTTGTACAGTATACACAACATAGAGTATACCAGCCTTTGAATGCTATCCAATTATAACAGATAGGTGGCAGGGCTGGATAAGCAATCTTACAAATATTCCCCTCTACCCAAAATCCCCTGAGAACAGCAGCTGTTTCATCTCCAGACCATCTCTGATTGCAATCTTCTGGCAGGGCCTGACAGCATCGACACACCTGCTCACACTGACCTCCAAGCTACCTCCTCCATGTCTGCCTGCCACAACTGTAAGGATTAGCATGTCTGGGATAGAGGATAAGCGAGAGGGAGGACGCTGGCCTTTTAGTCTGACATGCGAATCCTATCCCTCACTTGTGGCATTGAGCATGTGTGCACAGCTGGTTGATCCCCTGCCTCTGTGCATGCAAGCAGCCTGGAGGGTTGTGTTTGTTGTATGAAAAAGCAATTAGAGGTGGAAGCTTTACCAGAAGTAGTGAGTAAAAAGCAGGATTCCTTTTAAAATTCGATCCTTCATGAGAATCACAGCTTTAGGGAAGTGCAGTATGAACTCCATTATCAGTTTAAATGAAACCTATTAACATCAAGGCTTTTAGTTAGTGAAGTTATAGCATACTAGACCGTTTTTAAAAGTTTTGTTTGACCTTTAATCTCAGGTGGTGGCTTGAGATTTTTAAAGAGCTCTGGGCAAAATGGCAATATATATGCTTTGCCAGTAATCATTTTATACATTTAGGTTATCTATTTTTAAATATTTAATGATTTATTTTTAAAAATGTCTTTATGGATATTTTTTTACACTAGTACACTGTGTGTCTCTACAAGACAATGATTAATTGCCCCTTGTCACATCCTACATTTTGACTTGTCACAGTAGAAAAAGCCCAGGTGTTACTTAAAACATTTACAATGACTGTTCTAGTCAAAGCCATGACCATGTGCTAACCAACATGAACATATGAAGGATCTTGAAACTGAAGCAGTTAAATGGAATCATCCATCCATTCATTATTTGTACTCCTTATTCGTGAACAGGGTTTGGGGGGCTGGGGCTAATCCCAGCTGACATTGGGCAAGAGGCAGGGACCACCTTGGACCGGTCACCAGCCTATCACAGGGCCTACGGGCAACTTAGAGTCGGCAATCAACCCGTGGGACTGTGGGAGGAAGCTGGAGTACCTGGAGAGAACCCACACAGGTACAGGGAGAACATGCAGACTCTGCACAGAAAGGACCCAGGTCGGCCCGGAACCTTCTTACTCTGAGGCGATACTAACCATTACGCCACTGTGCCACCCTAAATGGATTTCAGTCATCTTTTATTATATTAGCTACATTTACTTTCCTACTGTGACATGTCAAAACCTATATCCTCACGTTGGACACCTTTGTTTTCATGTACCTGTATCATGTCTCTGTCAGGCCATGCATGTGTGCATGTTCTGTGGTTTCCTAACATGCTCTCTTGCTCTGTGGTGATCACAGGTGTTCATTTCTCTAAGCCTGTCTGATGGATCAACAGCTGCTCTCATTGCAAAGTCACAGCCCCCCCTCCCGATCTGACATTACGCAAATACCGATTCTAATATGACAGCTGCACACACACTGACATTTCACAATTGACACAAACCAGAATCACAGGATAATGCCGAGAACACTGTGCTGTTCCTTCCAACCTACACAGATCTGTTCATTTTATATTAGGCAACCTGTACTCTACTGGAAACCAGCTAACAGAAATACTGAGAAAAACTGAGACAATGTAAGAGCTACACAAAAGAAAAATGGGAGCATGATATCTGTTTGATTTTTACATGCTGCATTGACACTGTTGTTATTATTCATATCTCTCTCCAGGGAGCCCTGTTTGAAAAATGGGACTATGGCAGCCCCCCCTTTCTGTCACTATCTCCCTCTCTCTCATAAACACCCACCCACACTTATTTGGAGTCTCACTGGGGAAGTACAGCCAGGCAGGCGGTGTCTCCCTCCTCCTCCCTCCTGCCGCCATCATCTTTGTCCCCCCTCGTCCCATTTTCTTTCACTCTTTCTCCCCAGCTCATGAACCAGCTCGTCTCCTCTCTCCGTCACGTGGGTAATCAGCCTCTGCTATTTCATTTGGCTCAGTAATGAAAGCAATCCCAGCACTTTACACTGCAGTACAGCCCAAATAATGAGGGCTGCCTTACCCCTATCCTCACCCTCTCCCTCCCAACCCTGCTGTTAATGGATGGAGGCAAGCAAATGTGTGTATTTGAGTATGTGAAACATACAATCTTGCCAAGTCCTTTATGCATCGTTTCCTTCTTTCTCTTCTGAAAATTCATCTATATTAGTGGTTCCCCCAATTTTTTTTTTTTTTTTACCTGTGACCACACAATACCAACCTATGACCACTCACAGGCTACATGTCTATGAGGTGACAAAGGCTGCAGGTTTTTTTTTAAACAGGTGAAGATACAGTTTTCACAAGAACTGAGAATGTAGCTTTTCATCATTTCCTGCCAACTAGATAAATTTGTAAACCCTGTTGGGGGTGGGTGTCCTGGCCCCCAGGTTGAGAACCACTGATCTACATGAAGATCAACCAGTAAACTGAACAAGCTTGAGAAATTGATTTGAATACAGATGGGATGCATTAACACAGAACTATCATCTTTTACCATCGACAGAAAATGGCCATAATACCTTTTGCGACCTTGGAGAAACAGACTTACGGATTAAGAACCAATGATATACACTTTTTTCATTTGTCATTTCCATTGGTTGTAACAGTGTGTGGTATAAGCTGGCTCCCCTCTAAAATCAGTTTTTAACCACACAGCACTGCAACCAAGCAACACAAACGCCATTCCAGATGGCAAGCATTTAGCTCAAATACAACTCACCATGTATGTATGTAGGAAGTGTGGGGATGTGGCCAACATTCACAAATTTGGGAGTCTGAGTGTTCAGTGTTCATCTAATTAGCATCACATAACTTCAGATGTAGCCCGTAGCTCAGCTTCTAAACTTTGACCTTCAGTTCAATGAAAACACAGTGACAAATTGCCTTTTTCTTTAAAAAAAAAATAAAAAATCTAGCACTGTCTACCAAATGCAACAGAGATACAGGCCATCAAGATCAACACAAGTACCAGTACAGCACAGCTTCTCTGGTGCGCGTGATCACACATTCAGCAAATAACTTGATGTGTCAAGCAAATCCTCAACATACAGCAGCATGACAGTACAGAACAGAATGGATGCAAATTACCAGGTTTAGCTTTGTGTAGAAAGGCATGTGAAATATCACTGCTGTTGGTAAAAACCTTTCAACTCCAAAAATAGCATTTTTAATGTAAAATGTGTTTTATCCAACATTTACAAAAGGGTTTCCCAAGCCCAAAAGTTCCCCATCCTTCAGTATACAGTACAATTTAATGTATTAATTCTAATAGAAACATGAAAAACTGACAAAATATAACAAGGTTTTCACCTATGTGACAACAGCAATATTTTACCAGTGGTGATGAGATGATTTTTTTGCAGAACAATAGTGATTTAATCTCTGTCTCCTGCATGTCTTCTGTAAACTGAAGCTATGTTCAGAATAAAGATTCTCCCAAATACAGCTCAAAAACCTTTCTCTACATTTCATCCAGCTGTTAAAAAAATGTAATGAGGGAAGGAAGAATTTCATGTGTCAAGTCAGTCCCCTTGGTTCATCAAAAACAGAAGCTACAACTAAGGTGGCCTGAAGTTCAGGTTCTGCATGTAAATCGATCCCTCTGGATGTGGGTGAGTAATTAGCCTAGTGGTGTGTTGTCCAGTAGTCCAGTCCAGCAGGAAAACAGCGCTGGCACACTGGTGGGAAGAGCCTGCCAGATATGTGCCCACTCACAGTGAATTTCCCGGGAGTCCGGGGAGGGGGTGTCATCCCAGTCAGTCAGAGTGTTTGCACCAGCACGGGGAACAGCAGGGACAAGTGCTCGGCACCTCGGATTGGTAGTTTGTGTGTGGTGTAGAAGTGTATCACCTCAGGGATGGTGTCAAAGAGAGGGCTGTTCTGTCCCAGCACATACTTGCCGTCTTTACACTGGGTGAACTTTATGTGCATAAAACCCTGGCAGCTTCTGTGAGGAACGAGAACAGAGGAACAGCATGAAATGTGGCACACATAAAACATCATGCAGACTTCAACACATTTTGTCACACGATGCCATAGTGGAACTGAAAGCGTGGATTTATATTCACTTTTTGTTCCTACACTCAAAGCATATGATTCTAGCCAGCATTTAACACCACGTCACAAATTAGTAAGGAAACGATGTTACGTTGGATGACTATGAGGTGGAAAGAGAAAGTCAGAGAAGAAAGAAAGAGTTGGACTGTGATATTGGGTTAACAGAGAACCACACCAGTACCTCACTTTTAAAATCCAAGCAGCCATCACAGGACTTTCCCTTTAAGAGAAAGCCAGACATTCAGTCATGATTTACGTCTAATTATAGAAGCAGAAAGGAAGATGAGGGCTGAAACTGATCACCATAATTATCACTATTCTTACAAACAAAATTAAAATGTGAAGAGCAGTTAAACCAAAAACACTGACTAAATATGGCCAATCTACAGGCAGAGCCAAGTGCGTCATCACATCTGCACACTCGGTGTGCTTTCATTCAGTCCTGTTTGGTCTGGGGACTCTTTATATCTTGTGGTACATTAGAACCGAACCTCTTTCATAAATATTTATGCTGGTTTAAAGCTGGCAGGCCTATCCGTTTCAGTGCTGACTCACTTTGGAGTGGAGCTTCATTTTATCTTCATTAAATAACTTTGTCTTTCCTCACATAGTTTACACTGTGTAATCTTGAAATACTCACAGCGTGGTTCGCTTTTTTCAATGACAAAAACACACAGAGGCTGCATTGTTTCACAAAACTTAGCTGATACGGGTCATTATTACACAAAGTCCTTTCTGAAGGGTACACTGACATCATGACAGTGTGCCACTGTCCTAAACCAACCCACAAACCAGTCACAACACTGATAAAGAATGGGCAAATTCTTGTGTATTACAGCTAGAGCCGCATTTTCATTGTTTTGGCTGCCTTTCTATCTGTGATGATAGCATCATGATTCGTCAGGCAGTTAGCCAGATTAACCAAACCACTGTGCTGTAAAACCCAAGGGATTGAAGTGTCCACCACTCACTCAAAGATGTTGCTAAGTGTTGGAAGGACACTAACAATTGGTAAAATAAAGAACAAACACTCTGACAGGCTACTCCAATGAAGGCCGGTTCCTCTGAAAACAAGTGAAAAAATGTAAAGTGGACAGATGTTATGGTACTAGTACCAGTAGTGACCTTGTTGCTTGAATAAATATGCATGTGTGTGTCAAACCCACTCTACTCATGTAAATGAGTAATGCATGAGCTTGTTTATATGTCAGCACAACATGATGACACTCTCTCTCCCCTGTCTCTCCGGCTCCTCCCTCTCCCCCTTCTCTCCCTGATCTCCATCTTGTGTGGCCCACAGAAGGTAATTCATATTCATTAGTGATTATGGGGAGGATGATGTGTGCACTGAAGTGTGCTCTACCTGCCTGATTACCACTTAGAGGGCCCTCTGGGGCCGAGGAGGAAGGCCATGGAGAGGGGCCAAGGATATGGTGGGGACATTGCGATGATGTGAGATGTGAGGCCAGGATGATGGATCATGGTAGTAATTACAAGGGAGAGATTTGACTAGATAAGCAGTATTGTGCCCTGCAAATGAGTACTGGGAGAAGAATCGACACGGTGGTGATGTTAAGTGGGGGTGATGGTGGAGAGGAGGGGAGGGGAGGGAGAGGGGTGACAGACTGATGGAGAGGTGTGGTAGACCGTGATATGTGATCACAGGTGGCTTTATACACACCTCACACACTCTGCACAGTCAACTGGCAGAAATAGGACAATTAAAATGTAAAGCTGAATATCTAAGAAGATGCTCAGGTGTTTCATTGCTTGTTGTGGTGGGTCAACATGTGGGTGCCTGTGTGTATTCATGTCTTACCGTAGGGACAGGGAGTAGTCGGAGCGGTTGCTCTGACTGTTCCTCACCAGGTAGCTACACTCTTTACACAGTGTTAGCAGCGACTCTGCCTCAGAACGAGACAGTGATCCATGGTACCATCTGATAGAGCACAAACACACATACTAGGATATGATTCAAGTCGCAATGTGAACTGACTCCGATTCTGAACTTTAATTCCAACAATTTGTTTTGTTTCATTTTATTATCATGCCATATGAAAAAATGTTTGGAAATAGGGCTTTTTGTCATGTTTGTATAGTTATACAGACCATATTCATTCATATTCTGAATCTTTTGATGCATGAAGTTGACACAGGCAAAGAATTTTTTTTATTTTCTCAAGATTAACCTTCCACAGTGCGACTTTATCATGGCCACAAACACATTTACAAGAGGTAAATGTTAGAGGCATGAATGTTTCTGAAGACCAATATTTAAGACTAAGAGAGAAAAATGTAAGAGTAAGAGTAAAAACACTCTGCTCTCTATTTTCATGGTAGTAAACTGTCAGTAGCATCATGGCAGTGTGTTCTCCCATTCGTGCTGGCACACACTAGCACATGGTGCTCTAGCAAGACTAAAAATCTACAGCCTTGCTGGCAGCTAAGTGAAGCTGCATTTGGCAGAGTGGTGCTTTGAGCTAAATACTCACATTAGTGTACCTACAGTACAGGCTCACAATGACAATGCTAACATGCTGATGTTCGGTAGGCATGTTGTTTACCATGTCCATCACATGACATTTAGAGTGTTAGCATGCTAACATTTGCTAATTCGCTAGTATAATTATAAAGAAACTAACAAAGTCAGTAAGAGAATTTTTTTTCTCCAATAATTGTGATATCCTTATACATGACCTGGCCAAGTGTAATGCTACAGGTTAATGCTGGTTCTGATTCTCTGTTTAAAGCAGAACAAAAGGAAACCACAAAGCTCATAACAGCCCTTAAGAGATAATCAGAGAGTAATGGTGCATAATAATCAACTACCACCCTACCACCCCAACTCTATTTGTGCATGTGTGTTGTCATGTGAGAGCGTATGTCTATGTGTGCTTAAGAAGTGTCATGCTTGGATTTCATTAGTAAAACGACCCTTTATGTGGATAGAAACGGAATATAAATTACACCAATGATGTCTGAAATTATGAGACCAAGGTAAATGTGCGTTTTTAATGTTCTGGCTTAATTAGTTCGCATTCTAACCTTTCGCATTCCTGTATGCTCAGCTGAGTGCTGCTTAGCCGAGACACATAACTGTTTGGTTTTAATGTGTTCCCGTCCTTAATAGGTCAAAGTCAAGCAATAAAATAGGTTATTGGCTTTAATGAGAGAGATGTTGTACAACCCTGTTCTCCCTCAAAATCATTTGTATAACATTGTATGATAAATGCATATGCATGGCATCTGTGCAGAGACATTTATATCCTACAGAGATAATTGCCCTTACATGCACAAATAACTGCAAAACTCCAGTTTGTCTCATGCATAGAAACATCATAACTCAGAATAATGCTCCAGATAAGATGCCTGGTTTAATCCTTCATATCAGTGATATGTGATATTCTGGTCCTTACTATACTTGGATTGAACAGTGTGCACATATTCAATCTTGCACAGTATTGTAGGAACATTTCGATGTCAGCTGCTGTCAACTGACATGGCAATTTCTTGTATTATAGTCAAGGTAATTAAATTAATGGCAACAAGGATGCTCAGTCAACAACTATGAGAGGTCATTGAATACCAAAGTATGTATTCCTCTTAATCAGATTAAACTTTACCTGGAATGGAGCCTACACTCAGACACATAGCAACTAATGTTTGTTTATAGGGCTCCTATGTGTTTAACAGAAGACAGCATACATACACCTGCTTCTCCAGAGGCAGAGTAGGGTCCACCCTCTCCCCCATCAACGTGAGGCCTTCCTGCGGCATTCGAAACTTCATTCCCCCTCCTGCCAGTGGGCTGGACCTGGGCCCCGGAGGACGCAGCCTTTCCGTGGGCGACGAGGAGCGGTCCCACTCTGCGCCATCAAACTGAGCTGTTGGAATATAGGAACAGAAAAAGTGAGTCATGGCATTTACACAGTGCTGTGATCGAAAGGGATTAGACATCACAGCCTGACTTGGGTAAACCACGCATGCAGCAAATAGACCTCTCACACTAGAGGACAGCAGGTCCTGCAATTACCATCATCAACATTTTTACGAGTCCCCTGGGGCATATAGAGAAGAAGAAGAAGTTGGTCTCTTCTCTGCCTGGCTCTGGTGCACAGCTTTGTCTTCCAGTAGAAAACAGTGCAGATTATTTAATATTGACTAAACTAATTCTCCTGCAAATGATGTACATAGTGAAGTGTTATTTGCCCATTTTGTCCCTGATTTTGGTGAAATCCAATCTGCAGAACTTGTAATTTGACATTAAGTGCATCACAGCACTACAAAGTACCCTGACTTGATCACAGCAACATCCTAATTTGCAGAGAGCTATTCATGCATGGTTGAATGCATAAATAAAATATGATAAGAAAAGAAAGCTTGAAAATTCAAAACCCTACTGATTGCAACAGGCAGGGACAGATGCAGGTGGGCAGCTGGGAGCTCGAGATGAGGTAGAGCAGATGTGGAACACCAGCTTGGGTCATGGGGGTCAGTGTGATGGGTGTTTGGGTGATAAAGGATTGCAGGGCAAGGGGGATGCTGGTGTTCAGGGTTAGAGGTCACCTTGCTCTCTGACGGGGAACTCCTCCTCCAGCTGACCCACTGGGGTGGGCCAGGGCAACTCCGACAACTCCCTCACTTCTAACAGAGGGGGGAGAGGAGGGAGGAGGTGAGAAAAAAAAGAAGTGAGAAAACAACAGATGGTTTCAGTTAACCAAAGTAAGGATGAACTTGGGTGCAACATTTTAATGATTTAAAGGAGGAGAGAGAGTGAAAGGTGAGATGTGGAGGAAGTGGCAGGCAGGGAGGCCATGGTAAGAGTGGGAGAGATGGTGTGTGTGTGCCGAGTAAACGGGGTCATGGTCAGCTATATCTTCTGTCATGAGGCATGAAGCAATACACTACCTCTTGTCTGCTTGTTTCATCACACCCTACATTTACAGTAATTTATTAGGGGAGATGAGACCGAATAAAGCAAAGATAAAATAAATCAGACAGGAGAAGTCAGAGGATGCGTTATTTACAGTCATCTGAAAGAATCGACTTTAAGAAATCATCTCTTAGTCGATGCAATAAAAACAAAATGTGACTCCATGTGCAATACAACCCACAGCACAATGTGACAGGGAAACTGGAGAGTGTGGAGGCCAAAAAAAATGCTCCCTTCCATGTTCTACCTACAGTAGGAGAGCGGCAGAAGGTGCAATTTGAGACAGAACTGAAAATAGCTCATTACTACCTACCATAGTAGGCAACCGTCTACTGTAACAGTCATTACCACAGCCTTACACACATACACACACTACATTATGCAATTTGCCAGTTTCACACCATACATTTAGCTCCTGCTCAATACGGATTATAAAACAAATAAAAGGAAAGGAGGGCTGATGTCTTAATGAGCCGAGAAATCCAAAGACACCCCAGGCCTGCGACATCAAAGGCCATTTGAAT